CCTCGTCTGAGCTGCCAATTATGGTTATGTCCTCCATAATGCTCCCAATGAGCTGTTCAAGGTCTTCTTAGACCCTAGTGTGGCTTGTTCGAATTTGAGCCATCATGGTGCCATGATGATGCATGTCTCCGATTTCAATCATATGATTATGTGGGTGTCATGACTCCAAGACAAGTCAAGTAATAATTGCTCTGAAACTATAGTACTTTTATGATGAACAACCATTCGTCGCCGCATGAAACATTGAAACTGAATAGGGATTGCATTCCGTTTTCAGCTGCCTTGCGATCTGAGAAGGAAAAGTGAAATCTATGGCTTGAAAATCCAGGCGGTCCTCTCCTCATTGGGACAATCAGTCCCTGGCGCATCTTGGCTAGACCCCTTATTTTCCTGGCTAGGATCATCGCTTGAATCCGGCCCTGGCCAACTTGCGCTCCAGCTGGGTAGCTTTTGCTTGAGCCAGAAGGACCAAGACCCAGAGTTGATTATCATACTTTGACACATGTACACTGTGGCAACATGGTTTATTATCTCCAAAAAAGTTGGTATTAAATAAAAAGTTGAAATGAAATTATTTTGTCTTTACTCCGCGTACTAAAGTTGAACTACAAAGTCGCCAGTTCTCATCTTCCAGCTCCCCAGATACTCCGCGTACTAAAGTTGTACTACCAAGTCCCCAGTTCTCATCTTCCAGCTCCCCAGATACTCCGCGTACTAAAGTTTTACTACAATCCTCGCCTGTTCTCATCTTCCAGCTCCCCAGCTACTCCGCGTACTACAGTTGTACTAGCAAGTCACCAGTTCTCATCTTCCAGCTCCCCAGCCACTCCGCGTACTCAGTTGTACTAGCAAGTCACCAGTTCTCATCTTCCAGCTCCCCAGCTACTCCGCGTACTAGAGTTGTACTACAAAGTCGCCAGTTCTCATCTTCCAGCTCCCCAGATACTCCGCGTGCTAAAGTTGAACTACAAAGTCGCCAGTTCTCATCTTCCAGCTCCCCAGATAGTCCGTGTACTACAGTTGTAATAGCAGCTCTCATCTTCCAGCTCTCCAAATACGCGCGCACGTGGGACTCATCGTCCGCAGAGGGGCTGCGCCGGACAAAACCAAATCGCACTCTCGCCTGCATTTCGCGCCCTCGACGCGCACCATCTCCGCAGAGGGTTGCGTTTCGTGACGCTCCGGCGGCACCGCCGCCGGCCTTAAGAGAGAAAGTTAAGAAGAGCGAGAGGTGAAGATGTGAGATGTAGATGTGAGGATGTGAAGATGAGCAGAGATGTAGGTGCGCAGATATGAACATGAGCAGAGATGTAGATGTGTGAAGATGAAGATGGGCAGAGATGTCGATGTGAGGATGTGAAGATGTGAGATGTAGATGCGCAGATGAGAATGTGGATGTGAAGATGAGCAGAGATGTAGATGAGGATGTGAAGCTGCGCAGAGATGTGAAGATGAGCGGAGATGTAGATGCGCAGATGTGAAGATGAGCAGAGATGTAGATGCGCAGATGTGAGCATGAAGATGATACGTAGTTCTGCAGATGATTCTTCTTTACGAAGAACCCTTCGCAGACGCTCTCAGGAAGAAAGACAGAACAGATGTCAAGGAGCGACAGTTTGGATGTACAGATGCGATATACATGTGCAGATGTGTGGGTGTTCCGGACCAAAGTGCACTCGACGCGCGCGATCTCCGCAGAGGGTTGTGCCGGACACAACCAACTCGCACTCTCGCCTGCGTTTCGCACCCTCGACACGCACGATCTCCGCAGAGGGTTGCGCCGGACACAACCAAATCGATCTCCGCAGAGGGTTGCGCCGGACAAAGCCAACTTGCACTCTCGCCTGCATTTCGCGCCCTCGACACGCACGATCTCCGCAG